AGAGGGGGCTGGGGCGCTGGTCATGGCGTGGGTGGCGGGTGCCAGGGGGGCGCCGGGTGCAGGCAGGGCAGGGGCGCCGGGGGCCAGGGCCGGGGGTGGCGCAGGGGGCTGCTGGTGCAGCTGCTGGAAGTGCTGCTGGCGTGCCCGCATCTCTGCGTACTTCAGCTGCTCCATGTGGAAGGCTTGCCGGTCTGCCAGCAGCTGCTGGCGCTGGTACTCCAGCTGTGGGGGCAGGGGGGTGTTACTGGCACAGCCCCCCAACCCCTCCCGGGGCTGCTGGGCCCGAACCGGGACAGCCCTGTCCATGGCCTCGACACCCACTGCAATAGAGGCCCTATTCCACACCAGAGCCAGATGCACTGTGGCAGGGAGGGGGGTCAAGCTGCTCCAGGAGCCCCTGCCATGCTCCACCCCAGAGCCAGCTGCATTTCAGCAGTAGGTGAAAGCCTGCTCTATAAACTGCTGCTATGTTCCATCCCAGAGGCAGCTGCATCTCAGAGATGGGTAACAACCTGCTCTACCAGCCCCTGCTACGGCCCAAACTGTGGTCCACCCCAGAGCTGGCTGCATCCTAATAAGCAGCATCCCCGTTCCACCCCAGAGCTGGCTGCATTTCAGGGGTGGGTGAGAGCCTGCCCTATAAACTGCTCTTATGTTCCACTCTACGCTCCACCCCAGAGCCTGCTGCATCTGAGCGGTGAGAAAACTTGCTCTATGAGCCCCTGCCATGCTCCACCCCAGAGCCAGCTGCATCTCAATGCCCGGCCCCAGCCCTGAGCAGGCCACCCCAGACTCACCGCCTCACGCTCCCGGTCCATGATGGTCTCAAGCTCCTCAAAGTGCCGCAGCTTGATCTCCAGCTTCTTCATCTGTGTCTCCACCAGCAGTGCCACCAGAGACTTGATCTTACGCTCCTCCACTGCTGCCAGGTGCTGCGCCAGGGAACGGCATCAGGAATTGGCCCTGCCTGACGGTGTGCCCCAACCCTGGGGCCAAGGGG